CTATTAATATCCTCAAGCCGCTGAATACGGCGTTATTGTTAGCTGGGTTATCTAAGATAAAAATGACTGGCGGGGGTGAGGGAGTTGACTTCCACACTTAGGGATGATAATCAATGCTGACAGAAAAAGGTACTAGTTGTTGTATTCCAAGAAGGAATGTTCAGATTCACGAACTCGGACTATACAGACTGAACCATGAAAACTAACTTCATTTCCATTTGACAAAGAATATGAGCTGTTGGTATAAAGTGTGTTACTAAATTATCCGCATACCTACTGTTATTAGTGAAGTAGAATTTTGATATATTTGATCTAATAGCATGTCTCATATCATCAGCCTGGGAAGTGTTATAAACTATATAAGTGATTTGTTATTAATGTTATCTGTTCACAACTGAATAGCAGTTTCAAAGCTTTTTAAAACTTCGGATATACTCTTTTCTACTTTATCTTTTTGTTAAATAAATAACATTAAAAATTGAAAAGTATTATGATACACCTGTAGTAGGCATTTGTGGATATTTATCTTTTTGGTTTGATTCGTATTCTGCCGTCGACTGACTATGTCGGACCGAAATGCTTGTTCCCGGTTGACATGTCGGCTACTAGAAGAGATACTTCTACTATGTCTGAGGATTAACGTGACGTGACCACTAGTGAAATCCAAGATGTTTTAGGTTAAATCACATTTCCTGTGGATTATGCCGTAGATCATGTTAATTGTCAGGCATATTCGAAGTGTCCGTACTACAAGCCGACAATAACTCAGCGTTAACCCAAAAAGTCAAATTATAACTGTCAATTGTTGCACAAGATGTGGGTGTCGTGGCCGAAATGGTCTAGTGGATAATGCTGTGGTGTCAGACTACACTGATTATAAGAAAAATGTGCACTACACATCATTTTCCAGTAGTTATTTCACGACTGTCAGCACAACGAAATCCCACAAATGGTAGATGAGTTGGGAATTTAAAACGGTACTACATATACTACTGACCTATAGCAGTAGTAGTAGGAACAAGCGATACATGCCATCGTGAATAATTAACTAGACAGAGACAAGTCAATATGGAACCCTTCTTCGAGTCCCTTCGCTTCGAATCAACACGAATTAAAGAGGGTAAATTATGTCCTAGTGATTCTACAGTAGACAGACTTGAGTGTCACAAGAAAGACAATAACTGAAAAGAAACCAGAGGTTTTCACTGTACATACATACGCTGTTGTGATCGATTTTGAGACATGCTACCAGGAGTCTGTAACTCTGTACACTACTACAAGAATGTAACATGGTCTGATAAATCATTTTTAAGTAAGCATTTGTATCATTTCGAGTTCATTAGATTTTTGCTTATCTCTCTGTTGTCATTTCACTCTACACCATCAAATAAATTATGATTATATTTCAATAGTTTACAATGATAAGTTTTTGTTTTTGTTAATATTTCGAGTAAAATTACTTCCCAACTATTCAAATGAATTTTAGATTTTCCCGTCGATCTCGGTCTCAGGTTGATATGTCCACTTCTTGTGCAGAAGCTTCGACGATGTCTGAGCATGTAATTAGAATGTAATTGGGGGATAGTGACTAGCAGTGGAATCCAGGACAGGCATTTCGTCCTATTTAGGACTCGTCAGCTAGTGGATGTACCTGAGTTCCCCAATTCAATTGAATAATTAATATGACCCATTGCACAAGAGGTGGCTCTCGTGGCTCAAGTGGTCTAGGGGATAATGCTTTGGCGTTTGAAACTATGGGCACTGGGTTTGAGCCTCGCTGGGGAATGTCACCACTCACTGGGGGATGCACGCACATCCAGATGGCGAGTCCGAAATAGGACGAAATGCTCACCCTATTCCACTGCTAGTCACCATCCACCAATTAAATACTTCCCAATTGTTGGAATCGTTTTTTTTAATTCCACCATCTTTATTGATCTAATGTGTATTGTAGCAGCGAATTTATATTACGTTTATATAGACAGTAGATTCTCAATAGTCGATCAGAACTATCTGCAAGTATCATATATCTTATCAATTTTGCAACAATGCCAACCAATCAATTAAAATCCTATTCGCGTTTGGAACCCCTTGATTCTGAATATAAAATTTCTTTCGTGTGCAGTATATATCTTGCCATTTCTGTCCCAATAGTTTCGACTTTGGATTGTTCTAATATGAATAAATTCTTGTTTGAAGTTAACAAATGGTCTCACATAAATGATCTTCAATTAAATCCATCTGAACGTCATGCTGCTGATTTCGGTTTCAGATGCGAACAAAGCTTGCATGGACTGACTCAGTTGCATGATTCCTGTAATACTGACGGCATTGTGATAAGGAGTAAAGCGAACATCTCTCATCTCGGTATCAATCTCTTTTCGAATCCCTGTTGGTCATCACACATCTTGTTGATTTCCGAGAAAATGTTTCGTTTGACATATTCCATATGAAAGTTGAGACTTCCTACTGCTGGCATAACTCAGCCTCTTCTCTTACAATTTATTCATTCATGTATTCTGCCCATTCTCCTCTATTGTTAGCAATTACTCTTCCCCTGGCTTCTCAAAAAAAAACTTTGTCATATTACGTGGAACATTGAGGACTGTAATTTGGGGTTGCTGGTGTACCTCTGACTCAGCTAACTGACATCATTGTCAATAGGCACTTCAATTCTTGCAAACATATTTAGCTAAAATTATCTTGTCTGATACTGAACATCCTCTTTATTCTCATCTTTCTCTCTGGATCTCATTAGAATTCACGCCTCTACAGCTGTAACAACAGAAGACAAGGGCGAAGCAACAGATCGTTTTATTATGAAAATCAACACGTATTTATACATCTTTCAACTACATTATTATAGACAAGCGCAGTCATCTGATTGGTTGTTTAGGTAGACAAACGCAGGCTTCTGATTGGTTGTTTCGGGATTCCTTGACAAATAGAGTTCTCTCTGCGAATCATATTTTGCCACGTTAACTTTGCCGTGATTGGTTGTTGACTCAGGCTTGTTCATATCTTCTCACGGCCCACATTAGTGACCTAGACCTTAACGTAGATTAGTGCCAACCAATCGGCTAGCAGCCTGCTCTCACCACACAGCTAATAAATATAAAAATTCTACCACACAGCCATATTTAGCATGGGTGGTTGTGTGCGAAGACAGAGTCAGATTTCAGAAGAGAACTTATAAACTTTTTAAATCAGTAATCTGAACTGCAAAGTATAGGCAAAGATTATTACTATTACGTTTATTATCTGTGATAATATCTACTTATATTTCATTATGTTTCCACCAACATTCTGTTTATAGTGTTTCATTATTAATCCTGTTATTACTATTTTAAATTTTATGTATGTACATATAGAAGAAGCTAAATTGTTGCAATATGTATAAAAAAGCTGGATCTTCTATTCTGTATAATTATTATTGTTTCGAATAAAGTGGTTATTGTTATTATATGGTCATAGAATATATGACCTCTGTTATAAATGAGAACGCTGAGGTAATTATTATTTGGGAAAGTCAATGACAACGCATTAGATCAGATGTGAAACGAATCGACAGTGGTTATATATGCTGATTATGTGTAAAGTTTTGATATGGTTGTGTTCTCTGAGCTGGATGGTTAATTTGCGAAGCTTTCATCTCCCTACTAGGCGACATCTTCAGTGCATACTTCAATTTGAAGTGAGCTTTTAGATTTCTCCATGAGTTTATTAATCATCTCTCCCGGTGACCTTGAAAGTGATTGGTTGTTTTTGTGTGTTTTCACACCTTCTAGGTTACTTGTATTGGAACCGATTGTTTCTTTGACTTGAACTTTGACCCTTTGTGTGTGAAGTTTCTTTCTTATTGGTTGATAAATTTTGTCTATCTCTATGTGTCTACTGATTGATGATTCACTGGAATGCCAAGCTTCTAAAAATTCTCTATAGCATTCTTGTTGTTTCCTCTGTCGAATTGATGTCCGTGGTTGTCTGTATGTAGTGATATGAGCGATGGAGTGGATATCATGTCTTTTGACAGCCAGCTTATGTTCGTGGATACGAAGACGAAGGGGACATCCACTTTGACCAATGTAGTGTTTCTCGCAGTTGTTACAATTTATTTTGTAGATGATATTGGTTTTATCTTCTTTTGCTGTTGAATCTTTTGGTTAACACAGAGCCAGTTGAGTGAAGTGACTTTGTTGGTTTGTGTGCGACGTCAATTCGTAAGGGTTTGAAGAGTCTTGTAGTGATTTCTGAGATATCCCTTATATATGATAAGGCGATTTTCTTTGTGCTTTCCTTGAAGGCTTTTGGTTTGATAGGTTGGCTTGGGGTTATATGTCTTTTGATGAAATTCCGTGGACTCAACAGCAAAAGAAGATTAAACCAACATCATCTACAAAATAAATTGTAACAACTGTGAGAAACACTACATTGGCCAAAGTGGATGTCCCCTTCGTCCTCATATCCACGATCATAAGCTAGCCGTCAAAAGACATGATATACACTCCATCGCTCATATCACTACATACAGACAACCACATCAAGATCATCCACCTGAGCAACAAATCTTCTCTACCATACGTGTGAATTTATAGCTACATGATCTATGAGTTTGACATTGGACGAATTAGTCAAGAGTTTTCAGCCCGAAATTATCTAATAAGCTTTGAATAGGCAATCTATATCACTGGTTCAAGAATACACACTAAGTTTGGGGTAAATATCTGTCAATAATTTATAAACTGTATTATACTTTTGTACATTATTATGTTTCTCAGTTAGAAAAGATTTAAGTTATTACGTAATAAAATAATTTTAAAGAACTTTTTTGCACTTTGTTGAATACTATTTTGCTTTTCAACGCAGATGAACTTTGCTAAATAATAAAATCCAAATATTACGCAAAATATATTGATGAACTAGACTGTTGCACTTTGTGAATTAATTGGTGTATAAATACTCGTGTATATAAGCAGTTGATCATGAGTACAGTTGATCAGATTAGTTGGAAGACCAAAATTATATAATCACTGTTCAGGATAAAAAAAAAGGGGAAACAATGCGAAAATTATTCAATTTAATATTTTTATGTTTTCTTCAAAGTGTATTCAGTAATTCATATAGTGAATATAACGGTTATGGTGGTTATACTGGTGGTTATCCTAGCGGAAATGGAGGCAGCTATAGTCAGCATGGTGGAGTGAAATATTACTCAACTGCTGTAGATATCTATGGTAATAGTTATAATGGTAATGATTACAACAAGGCATACGATAAGTATTATACTACAAGCAATGATAAACCTGCATACTATACTGCATATTATAACAGTTATCCAAGCAAAGTATATAACAAATACAATTACAAAGATTACAACAAATATGATACCTATAGTACTTCGAACGATTACGCCTACAATGACTACAGCCAGTATGGATATGGTAAATATTATGATAAATATAGCAATGGAAAGATTTACAATAAATATACCTATACTGACAATTATGACAAGTATGACACGTCGAAGAGCTATGATAAAGATTACAGTAAATATTATTACACCAAGAAATATGACACATATGACTATTCAAAGGATTATGAAAAAGACGACAACAGCAAGTTTGGTTACACCAAGAAATATGACAAATACGACTACTCAAAGGATAACGAGAAAGATAACGATAAATATGACGATACTAAGAAATATGATACTTATGACTACTATTCAAAGAGTTATGATAAGTATTACGACAAGTGTGGTTACTCGAAAAGATATGAAAAGGATTATGACAAGTATGACTACACCAAAAAATACGACAAATACGACTACTCAAAGGGTCACGAGGAAGATAACGATAAGTCCGACTACTCCAAGAAATACGACAAATATGATTACTCAAAGGATAACGAGGAAGATAACGATAAGTCCGACTACTCCAAGAAATACGACAAATATGATTACCCAAAGGATAACGAGGAAGATAACGATAAGTCCGACTACTCCAAGAAATACGACAAACATGATCACTCAAAGGATAACGAGAAAGATAACGATAAGTCCGACTACTCCAAGAAATACGGCAAATATGATCACTCAAAGGATAACGAAAAAGATAACGATAAGTCCGACTACTCCAAGAAATACGACAAATATGATCACTCAAAGGATAACGAAAAAGATAACGATAAGTCCGACTACTCCAAGAAATACGACAAATATGATTACTCAAAGGATAACGAGAAAGATAACGATAAGTCCGACTACTCCAAGAAATACGGCAAATATGATCACTCAAAGGATAACGAAAAAGATAACGATAAGTCCGACTACTCCAAGAAATACGACAAACATGATCACTCAAAGGATAACGAGAAAGATAACGATAAGTCCGACTACTCCAAGAAATACGGCAAATATGATCACTCAAAGGATAACGAGAAAGATAACGATAAGTCCGACTACTCCAAGAAATACGACAAATATGATTACTCAAAGGATAACGAAAAAGATAACGATAAGTCCGACTACTTCAAGAAATACGACAAATATGATTACCCAAAGGATAACGAAAAAGATAACGATAAGTCCGACTACTCCAAGAAATACGATAAATATGATTATAGTAAAGGCTATGAAAAGTATGATTACCATTCTGATAAGTATAATAAATACAGTGACAGCAAGGACTATGAAAAATATGATAAGTACAGTTACAAAAAGGATCATCATGATAAACATGATCATGGTGAACACGGCCACCACGACCATAAGGATCATCATGAACATCATCACCATAGTCATTAACATGATGGAGACGAAGAAGACAAAGAAGAGTCATATGATCAATGTGAAAAGTAAAATCAAAGGAACACCAGTATTTAATATTATATTTTGTTTAGTAACTTAAAATATAACCTTCGATAAATGAAGATTTCTAATTCTACTTTTAGCGTGCATCATAAACACATTAAAAAGATAATAGAGGAATACTGTGTGTATGAAGTTGTAGTAGTATTACTGATAACAGCTGGTCGAGTAGTATTTAGTTTATTTTTATTCGTTCAGTAAATTTTCCAAAAGTTACCATTACTGTTAGATGTAGTTTTCGAATTTGTTTTTCGTGGGGTGGGGTGGGAGGAGGGGAGAGAATGTACAACACTGACAGAAGGAGGTCGAAAGGGAATCATAATACAGAATAGTAGAGTGATTAGATTTGTAGATAATTGTACACGAAGTTATTAATTTACATGAATGAAACTTCAAAGTCACTTAGATAGATTCGATAATGGAGGTATGTAGATGACACATTCATTATACTTAGAACACAAGATATAGACAGATTTTTCGAACACATCAACTCGAAGGTAGAGGCAATTCAATTCACTTATGAATTGGAAAGTCAGGAAGGGGAACTTCCAATGTTAGATTGCAACGTAAAAAGGAAAGAAGATGGGAAGTTAAACACTAGTGTTTATAGGAAACCCACACATTCAAACAGATATTTGTACTTCCGATCATCCTATCCTATGTCAGTAAAAATAGGGTTGGTTAAATGTTTTAATAACAGAGCACAAAAACTAAGTAGTACCAAGGAAAGTCTAAGACAGGAAATGATACACATAAAGGAAGCCTTAAAACTTAATAATTACCCGGATAAATTAGTCAGAAAATATGTAAGGAAATCTAAAAATAAAATAAATAATAGTAGTAGCGATAGTGGTGATAATAATAATATTAATAACAATATTAATGACGACACCAACAAAATGGAATCTAAATCATCAGTAGTAATTCCATACAAGGAAGGAACCTCGGAAACCACCTTACACAGAATTCTTAACAAGGCAGGAATAAAAGTGGCTGACATTCAAACCACCCACAAACTCAATTAGAAACAAGCTTTGTCGGTTAAATGGTGGATCATGTGGAGCCTTTAAAACAAAACAATTTAGTTTATCAAATGCCCTGCCTGCAATCATTGTCAGGCCAAATACATAGGTCAAACCAGTAGAACAGGAGCAGTCAGACTAGCCGAATATAAAAACCTAGCAAAATCTAGATTGGTTGACCCAAATAAGATAACAAATCTAGAGAATAGTTCAGCTATAGCACTCAATACATGCAGTGACACACAACCGTACAATAGGATGGGATAGGATGACAGTTTTAAAATCTAATGTCATAGGATGGAGCGAGAGATTGATAGCTGAAGCTTTGTTTATCGAACCAACTGTAAGTACACGTAATAGGAATGATTCAACACCTATCCCAGATATCTGGGAAATTCTACTACGCCTAGGACGACAAATAGGAGAAGACAAAAAGAATTATAAAACTAAAGTTTCAAAGTCGCGTGATTATGATTGACATGATTACGAACAATAAATTTTGTTCGAAACTGTGTCATCCATTAAATAATAATACTGTTTCACTGTGTGATGTATCTAATAAACAAACTAATATGGAATTACTTACTACCACAGTGCCCAAGTTTTACACTTATGTGAAAATTAACAAGCGAAACAGCATTAAGGGTAATCTGAATTGGGGACAATTCTAATGCTATCTTAAGTTATGTTTTCGATAGAACTGGTGAAATGCATTCGAATATGAAGAACGATTTATTAGATAAGAATGTGACATACAGCTTAGATCATAAATTTTATTGGTTTAAAATACTTGACCCTAGGAGAAGTTATCAATAGACTGTTAGTCGACAAGAAATATAATTTTACCTGATTAAAAATGCCCATTAAAATTTTTTTAAAAGAATGTATAAGGAACAAAGAGTACTCTTCTCGATAACTCCATCATCAGGCTCTACATTTATACATACGTTCTTGTGAATGTATGAATTCGTGTTATGAACAACATTAATGCTGTTTGAATAAAATCGAATCAATAATATTGATAGATTACAGCTCAATGCGTCGGTGGCACAGTGATCAGGACGCTCACCGACCATGCTCATGGTCCGGGGTTCGATCCCCGGCCGAGGCGCTCCTTTACCTCGCTAAGCCAGAAATAATTCTGGCTTGAGGCTAGCAACCCCATCCTGTAAAATAAACACTGCAATGGAAACTTCAAGCCACTAGCTTGAAGCCCTATGTTCCACTGGGGAACGTGAAGGAGAGAAAAAAAACAGCTCAATAGCATCAACATAACAATAAACTGGATGTCAGAAAAATTAGGAAAGATAATATTACAAATTCATGAATTTCTAGTCTCTACTGAAGGCCGGCCAGGACAATAGTAGTGACTGGCTGGACTTGCTTCTTTCGAACACAGAGCACCGATTGTTTCACCAGAATTGCAATAGCCTCTGATGTTTGGAGCATGTGGTGCTTCGATGATTTTGGCAATTTATTAGGCACCCGGTAGATGATAGAGAAGGATTCTTCAATATTGGCTGGCTGGCTTTGTGGCCGGCCGGATTGCACCAGATGGTCCAATATCGAATTGTAAATGGTTTTAACTGCCCCTTTTTTACTTAGCCATAGTGGGAGATGTTATCGAGTGAGCACGAAAAATCAAGTTCCCAGAACAACGGCCAATATAACTCGTTCCACCATGAGCGCAGTTGAACTGGTAGATACAATTTGAAGTGGTTAGCTAGTCTAGGTACTTCATCTTTCAGTCGAGATAGCACCATCCATCGTGTAGAGAATAATACGTGTAGTTCTCCAGCATTAAAAGTTATTTGAACTGATTTTCTTAATCTCCTCGTAATTATCTCACTTGGTATATCGCCCTTGAATTGTAGTCGTATATAAAGTGGCTTCTTGTTTACAGATAGTGAGTAGTCCTTTTCCGCTTTCTTTGTCATGTATTTCTTGATAAATTTTCTTTCGGGATGGCTATTTTCGATCAAAGTATCATATACAATGCTTAATTCATCTTCAATTACTTCTTCTGAGCATATAACTGTAACTCTGTGGCTGAGGGTCTTCACTAAATTTCTTTTGTACTTGGTAGGAACAAAGCTGTAAAAATGTGTATATTGTCCTGTCCAAGTACTTTTTCTATGCAAATTTCTTTTTATGCTACCATCTGGTTTTCTTGTAAGGTGACAGTAACTACAGAATTCAAGAGGAGTTCACCTGTAGGAGGTTAGCAACAAGTTATGAAATATTGAATAATTTATAAAATAATGATGACAAAGAAGAATGTGTTAAAGAATTACACAAGGACTTTGCGTCGGTGGAACAGCAGTAGAATGCTGGCCAACTACACATGTAGTCTGGGGTTCAATCTCCGGCCGACACACTCCTGAACCTCGATAAGCCAGCAACAAGACTGGTAAAGAAGGAAGGTTGGGCATGGGGCTAGCAACATATTAGAGATATATGCCCTGTATGATTTCATACATTAGGTTCCCTTGATTAACTTCGATAGAGAAAGAAAGACCAGATTTGCAGTATAAAATGATATCATCATTCTATTTCACAGGTTCTCGTCAGCCGCAAACTACCTGGAATTACAATGGTTATAAATAATAATAATAAAAACTGTAGTACTTACTTATATTCCGGAATCGTTCACCTTATAATGTTTTCACTATTACCTTTCAAACACTGAAGTATGAAATGTTATTATTTATAACCCTTGTAATTTCAGGTAGTTTGCAGCTGATGAGAACCTGGGAAATAGAATGATATCATTGTATACCCTTATTGATTCATTTTTATTACATACTTATCATTGGTACATATTTTTTATAAATTAAGCACCACGTTTCACCTAGAAGAATCTAATTGGCTGTATCAAGGCTATCTAAAGTTGCTGTCTATTCCATACTGTTGCCATGTAGACGGTCGCGGTATAGAAACTGACAGCACAAATTTCGTTTGAACACACAGATTTGGCTTTTTTTTAAAATGAATTGTGATTGCCTCTGTTATATGTAAAAGTCTTACTTGTAGAGCACGCGAAAGGTTGGATGAAATACGATAAATAACTTTAAGAGTTTTTTCCAATATCAATCTGATGTCCTGTGCAGATGAGATGAGCTAGTACTGAGCTGTGTATAACTTTATTCGATCCTTCGACTAACCCAGATGGATAAGTGTTCAGAAATTCGACGATGAATTTGCTTAATTGTACGCTTAAAGTAACTAACCCCTCAGAAACAGTTAGACTAGTAAATACGCATCCCTATTATACCTCAAAAATTATATTTCTTGTTGACAAACATTCTGTTGCTAACTTCCACTAATTATTATTATTTTATGATTATAGCTTGATTCCACACCGTATTTTTGGTACAAGAATGGAATTCTCAGTATGCGATATCGTTAGCCCATATTTCGCGGGTCGATCATTGATATGAGGTGTGTGTCGAAGGGGATCGAACTCCAGATCATTTGGATAGTCAGCGAAAGTCCTAACCTCTGTGCCACCAACACACTCGCTTGGCGACCTGCTTGAGTCACTAGGTTACTTGAATTTCCAACCAATACAATGCAGATTATTTTCTTTAATTCTTGTTGGCATAATCATTCAGTTATATTCGTCAGTTACCAAATGTACTCATGCAAATTTTTAAATTGATTTGCACCCTACCATTTTGTCACCATAAAAGATTATTTAATTCTTCCGATCAAACAGCAATGCATCACATGATGTACTGGAGATGGCTGTTTTACTAGAAAAACTCCTGGATGAAGAGAATATATTATGCAATAAACTACGCTGAAAATAGTGCATATTGTGTAAACTTATTGTGCAGAATAAAGCTATTGTCATTATTATTATCACTAGTTAAAGTTAAACTTTAAGCACCACCAGCTACCAATCAGCAAATAGCCTCGAAAGCACCAATCACGTGAAAGAGGCATTTTTGTTTATGGAATACATATATTTTTTTAAAAAAATTGCATAAAGACTGTATAAAAGTGTTACAGAGGATAG